TTCACTTCTAATGATTCGTAACTATAAATTAATATTGTTTTGTTTTCTTTTGCATTTAAGTCTACCCAGTTTTATATGTTATATTGAAAGATATTTATAAATAAACTATTTCTCAATGATCGCACGTCTCTTTCCACAAGTATATTTCGATTTCCTTTTCGATGAAAGAAGATATTGAGTCTATCGGGTGCAGTACCCATGTGAGTGTTTCGGACGGACGGGAAGAGGGGATGCCAGTCAAAGCTTGCATTTGCTTAGATATTTCTACCTGAAGGAGGTGAAAGTACAGGAGTAAATACACATTTGACTGGAATTGTGGTATTTTTGTAGTAATTGAGCACGAGAAGAGATACCTGTAGTGATACACAGTCTGAAATTATTGATAACCACTTGTACCCCATGAACATAACCTCAGAAAGTCCACTAACGGATAGAACAATTCAATACATTTTGAAGAAATGGTTATAAGAAGCTGAAATGGGCAAGATATAACTGAAAAGATTATAACGGCTTGTTGTACGATATTCAATCTTGTGACTTTTGGTTTTGCTCACTGCTCTCCGGTTTTCGAGACGAGGAATTACCATTAACATTTAAAGTCGTAAGTATCCACCTCGAGGGAATCTACTTCAGTTCTATTTTTAACAAGTCTTGCTATCTGAGGTAACCGGCTTTGGCAATGATTTAAACATGCTGATTTTAAATTGTCTCAGATAGGTTCCTGAATATACCCCGAATTCCATGTTCTAGATGCAATCTCTCAAACATTATTTGCATAATCTGCGTACTACAAAGGATCTCGTTTCAACACTGCTCAAACCTCATTTGGCCGCTCGTGGTCAACGTAAAATAGTGATTGATTATTCATCACCGAACATAGCCAAACGATTCCACATTGGTAATTTGAGGTCAGTTAATGTGTCTGAAAATTCACAAAAACTTGCGAAATTCTCACGACATATATTTTCATTGTTCTTGTCAGTGTTTTTCAATGTTTGTCTTATAACTGGAAATTTACACTGTTCATAGTGGATGATCTGAAATGCCGTATCCCAAAATCTTCCAACAATTCATCAGACCTAATTTCACAATGGCGATCTCATTAAACTCATTATTGTCATTAGAACCTCACATGGAATCTTTTTTCAGTTAAAAAATAGAATTGATCTTCAAAGATTAGCAGCTACATATCCACTTTTTATAATGCGTATGTTAACTGACATTTTCAATCCGGAATAGCAACATCGGTAAGGATAAATATGACGATAATAATGATAACATCAACAATCATGATTAACAATTACCTATCACAAAACAAATGAATTCCAGTCCACTTCGTTTAGATCTTCGTCTGAATGCTCAATTTCAGATCGACATTAATCGGACGTTTCTTGGATTCACTGTATCGACAGTGTGGAGACGACGTAACTTCGGTGAATTACCTAGGCGATTGGGGTTCCCAATTCGCAATCCTCGCAGCATATTGGCCAAATATAAGGCCTTCTGATGAGGTATCCAATCCTACATTACCAATTCATTATGAGAGACATTAACATTAAATTTAGAATGTTCTTCGATTGATTGTGAGACAAATTTCACAAATGATATTTAATTTATAACTTGGAAATGAATAAATCTGCTGTATGATGCATACGATTCCACAACGAACACAATCATGTTTCAAAAATATTACAAATTTACTTTTAAATGGAATGCTACAACGATATGATTGATATTTTATCGATACTGAGATTAGGTTGGCATATAACGTAACATTTGAAGGTATGATTATGCTACGATGATCTCAAAGATAATGTCATTGATAGAATGAAATACTCATAATATTACTATCTAATATGATGACGTTAAGAAAGTGTCACAATTAGGATAATCATATAATTGTAAAAATGCTTAGTGCAGCACTTTTATATTGCAGGTATGGCGGAGATGTACGGATTTGGATAAAATAAAACTTTTAACAAATTGCTATGTTGAAGCGAATCATATGGCGCAAGATAACGAGCAATTCCGCAGTGATGTGAGGAAAATTTTCGCCGAAATGGAAAATGCACTGATTTTGGGAAATTTTGAAAATGATCAGTTGAAATTTTGGAATGAAGTTCGTGATATCTCAGTGCGACATTTGGAAGATTTTTATCGGTGAGCTCATTTCCATCTATGCTCTGCAAGCTAATAACAGACCGTTAAATGAACTGTCAAATTACCAAATTAAATCAGTAAGAATAAAGGATCCTGACTCTATGAAACATCAAGCTGACTGTTCAATGGAATCACTAAAGCAATGAAAGTAAAGTGAATATCTTGCGGATTCATATCCTATAGCGTTAATCAAAGTCAAGAAACTGAATAATTTAAAGTTACGACTACAATTATCATATTTACAAAAACACAGTTAACACAGCCGAATATAACGCTGAAGTTATATAATATATGTGACTGAAGTAAACTACTAGTAACATCGTAATAATAAGACGACATTAATGATAAATCATAACTTTTCATTAACAATTCAAAAGCAACAACAAAGGAACATTTATTCGTAGAATAATATAAATCCTTTTTGTATTTCAGATTACTGAGGATAAAATTTGATCGAATTTCAAATGAATCGGATTTCGTCAAACATTCTCAACAAATAGTAAATACATTCTTAGATAGACAAATAGCTCAGCAGAGTGCGGATGGTATGATCATAGTGAAAGATCCACAAATAGAAGGATATGCTACCGTTCGGAAATCTGATGGATCAAGTTTGTACTTGTCAAGGTGCGATTGATTGTTCAAGTATTTTCGTAATATTGCTATTTATAAAGTGATAGAGTCATGAAAGTATTTGCTAAAACATCATTCATTTTAAGAAAATACTAACGTAATGATCAACTCTGATATTGTCACATATCATTTTTGGTACTATGAAATTATCACTGGTTCAATGATATCATTAATAGATATAATGATGTAGCTGTCAAGGGGTAATGGGGGGAGACGGGAAATTAGTATTTTGTGCAGTTGTTATTTTATGATAGAACGCCATTGTGATGGTGTTTTCTAATTCGGATATATAAATGCGGTTAGTTCATGGTAACATTCTTCTTCATGTTTTCTGAGTATCATTAGCTCGTCCTGGCCTAACAGGGTTTTATTTG